TGGTGATTGTTTGCCTGCCTGATGGTGGAGCAGTGATGATAGAGGTGCACGCTGGAAATGTATAGCAAAATATAGCATACATGGGGATATGGAGAGCTATGAGGTGACTCTTCTTAGCTGTATGACAAAATTGGCATAAAAAAATCACATTTTATCTTTATTAGATTTCATCGTTTCTTGGATGTCAACAGCCACAAAATAGAAAAGACAATAGAAGGGTAAGTTGGTTCTATATGTATGTGTATATATAGGTATATATATTCAGAAATATGTGAATTTCTTATTAATCTTCTTGTTAATGTCTTTATAACCTTTAGTGAATTTTTTAATATATTTTTATATTTTTTATATATTTTAGAATTTATGAAAAATTTATTATTCATTCTGATCTCAGCAAAGCTGCTAGTTGGAAGAAATTAACTGAGGAATTTCTAAATTCATCACTTCCCAGCATAAAAGAAATAAAGGTATGCTTCCAATTATGAGATCTCCATTGTATATTTCACATTTTTTCAATCTGATTATTGTCAGCTTATTTTTGTGAATATTTAATCATTCATTCTATTTTAATATTATCCACTAGCTAGAAGGTGATCTCCTGGAAGTTGACTTAAATAAGTTTGCTTCAGGTTTGTTATGAAAAGAAAAAGCATGTTCTTATTTATTCATCTTCTTGCCTTCAACGTACTGTGGCTATCAAGATCCACGATTGGTACAAATCATGGCACTTTCTGGATATCTTAAAACTTCCAAATGGCTTCTCAGCATTTGGTAACAACTGCATATTCTTATTTAGTAGATGCCAGATACACTTTGATAGTGTGTCATTGGGCCTCAAAAGAACAATGATTTACTAGAAGGATTCACAGAACTCAAAAGCTGATACCCTCACTGTTTTTAATGGCTTATTGCAGTGACAGGATTCAGGATAAACTCAGCAAGGGGACAAGGTATGTAGAGCAGAAACCAGCACAAGCCTCAGGTGTCCCTTCTCAGTAGTCACACAGAGATGCACTTAATTCTTCTAGTAACAGTGCATGACAACATGTGTAAAGTATTGCCAACCAGGGCATTCACCTGAGCTTTGGTGTCCAGGATTTTTATTGAGATCGGTCTTGGAAGCATGTAGTGCCCATATGGCTTCCCTTAACTACTCAGACTCCAGCCCCCCAGAAGTCAAACTGAGGGCCTCTGGCACATGAAACAGACATTTACATTAATTCACATTGTTAGCATTAACTGTGGTCACACTGACAGAGCATGGTCCAAGCCTTTGGCA